GGACGGCCACTGGACTGCTACGGAGCTTAGGGTGACTTAAGGGGGGTGCCGATCGATGTGTGTGGAGTGTCAAAACAAAACAGTAGCAGCTCCGGTGCCACTGCCGCGGAGGCTTCCCGGCCGGCCTGCGAATCCCATGGCCTGTCTTGCTTCATTTGCTTAGGTCCCAAGGAGCCCAGAGTGACCCCTTCATTGAGGATCAAATCCATAGGTTGGACGATGACAGGCCTGATGTCGCCGTCCCCAGCCCGCTAGGAAAGGCACAGAATTCATTCAAGTGCTCTCTCTCGCTCTCTCTCTCTTTCTCTCTCTCTCTCACACACATACACCATAAAGCATGAGGACGGTGCTGACGTGCCCGGGCATGCATGGCGAGGCTGCCCTGTGGTGAATGGAAGTACAGTGACCACCCATCCAGGGAACCCAAGCTGGTGGAAAGAGACCCTGGACAGAAGCACATCTAGGTGCCCAGGACATTCCAAAATTGCAGCAGGCTGACTTGACTAGGTTTCGGGAGCAAGGAAGAAGCAGGGGGAGACAGGCCCGGGGGAGAGGGACCCCTCCGCACAGAGAGCTGGAAGGCGCGCACACAGCCGTTTAGGTTTGGCCTGGGTCTTAACTTGCTGTGGTGAATTTGACGAAGATTTGCAGCGCAGATTGGATTTCCTGCGCTGCGTTCTTTGGCGCCAGGTCTCACTCCGAGTCAGAGCCCCAGGAGGGTTCTAAGCAGATGGGTGGCAGACACGCACAACACTCAGTCCATTGTTTGCCTTAAGATAGACTCTCAGAGTGTGAGGGCAGAAGCAAGGAGGCCAGCGAGGAGACTCTCGGACTAATCCAAGGGAGAGATGCGGATGGCCCGGGCCAGCATGGTAGCAGTGGAAGCTGTGCGATTCTGGGTGTCTTTGGAAGGCGGAGCCGACAGGATTTCCTGAATAATGGAAGCAGGAGATCAGAGAAGCATCAAGATGGTTACAAAGTACTGATAGAGCAGAGAGGGCTCTGCCCCTGCGTCGTGCACCCTCCCATGGAACCCAGTCTACAGAGTCTTCTATCATTGGCCTTCATTCCCAAAACCAGACTCCCTGCCATCCAGTTGATGCTAATGCACAGTGACCTTGTGGGCAGGGCAGCACCTGTGAGTCTCTGAGACGGACTCTTGACGGGAGTAGAAAGCTCCTCTTTCTCCCTCAGAGCGGACCTTGGCGTTGGCAACCCAGTGCTCCACCACCATACCACCATGGCCTCTACTGGCCTTCGTGAGACTGGTGGATTGTCCTTTGTGGTGGTCTCCACTATCCAATGCTCTCACAATGACCTACTGACCACTGTTCAAGGAACTCCACTGGTGTGGTGGCTGCTAACCAAAAAGGTCTGTGGTCTAAACCCACCAGCCAGTTTTAGCAGTCTGCGTCTGTAAATCTTTCCAGCCTTGGAAAAGGGCCACTCTTTCCTAGCTGGTTGCTGTTAATCACAATGGTTAAGCGCCCAGCTAACCGGAAGTTGAACAGTTCATACGCACCCAGAGGTGCCATGGCAGACAGGGTTGGTCATCTGTTGCTGGAAGTTCTGTCTGGAAAGCCCTCTGGCGGTGTCCTCTTGCGCACACCGGGAGTCAGAATGGATCCAGCGTTACTAACGGCAGCAACCCTTGCCAAAGGCCCATGGGGACGCCCGAAGTCCTACTCTCCTCTCTCTGCCTTATAAATCCTGTTTGCTTGAGGAACGTCCCCGGTAGAATTAACAGCTTATGAGAACTATTCTGTCACTCAGGAGCCCTGGTGGCACCGTCAGGTAAGCACTGGACTGTCAGCCACAAGATCAGCAGTTTAAGCCCACCAGTTGCTCCAGGGGAGAAAGCTGAAGCTATATGCTCCTGTGAAGAGTCAGAGTCGACTCAATGCTGGAGGAGGGAGGGAGGGAGGTGCCTTTTTTTAAATCTTGAGTCCCTGAGGAGGGAGAACCAGCCAGGCCCGGCCCCCTGGCAGCTCTGCCTCTGCCGGCCTGCAGGTCCAGATGGCCAGGCCCCGGGAGCACTCTTTTCCCAGGCCCTTGCTTGCCTTTCCTGCTGGGAGCCTGGCTACTCAGGGGGATGGAGCAGGGAGCCTCTGGGAAGCAGCCCAACTTGTCTCTTGTGCTTTGGCCAAACCCTGCCCCGCTGTGCCGCTCAGCTGGTGACCAGGCAGGGCGGTGCCCCGGGGCACTGGGAGGCTGGTACCGTGCAGTCGGCTCTGCCTCAGGACGAGCCTGCATGTGCAGACTCGGACCGCTCCGTGAGATGCGCCAGGCTCGACTTTCCAAAGCCGATTACTAGGCCTTCCAGGCTCCTTGGAATGGGTTTGAGCCTGCAGCCTTCCCGTTAGTCATCGGGTGCCCTCTTCTCCCCACCAGCGTGAAAGAAGTCCGTAATAAGGATGCTCAAATCAGGACTCCTGGCAAGTGTGGGTGCCCGTTCACCCAGCCCTTTACCTTCAGGAGGGTGCCCATATCATCCCCCCTGAACACCTGTGGATCTTCAAAGACCTTTCTTGGTGGCTTCCTTTGTAGGGGGTAGAGAAGTGGAGGCCCCCTTAGGCCCTGCCAGTAATAATCTTCATGGGTGCCCACTTGCCCATTCTCGCCAGCCTTTTTCTGCCTGGAATGTCTTCCCAAGGTCTAAGCAGCTCTCTCCTCCTGCTGTTGAAAATAGCCCGCCTGGTTGTGTGCAGTAGGGATGGAGAGCGGATGCTGAAGAGCTGCGCCCCTGCCCTGCTCTCCCCACAGTGGGCTCGCCCTTCACTCCGACTCCAATACACAGAAGTCCTCGGGCACCCTGTTCTCCCAGCTGCTTCCAGTTAGCTGCTTCTCCTTGAACTCTGTGTGGGGCTCAGTGCCCTTTCCTATTGTTCTGCCCCTCCCCAGCGGTAGGCTTGTTTAGGGGGCAAAGCTTGCCCCATCCTGCCTGTGAGGAGTCCATCAAATAGCCAGCCACCAGCTTCCAGCGTCAACACCAGCACTAATCGTCTACAGTGTGTAAACAACTCGATGAATCCCAAGCGGCATGAATTGCCACATTAGGGGTTTCCCTCCTTCCCTTAAAGTCTTCCTGGAGCCCAGTGGAGGCGTCGACATGGGAGGAAGGCCTTGGAAACAATTCTGCCTAGTTCTTTCCCCTTGGGGAGATGTGTGTGTATGTGTGTGTGTGTGTGTGTGTGTGTGTACGTACAGGTATGCTGTTAGTGGGGAGGATGTTAGTAATCAAGGACTATACACTGAAGACTTCGTGGCCTAACATTTCTCATTCTCTTTTCAAAGAAACCCTGGTGGCGCCGTGGTTTACTCATTGGGCTGCTTACCTCAAGGTCAGCAGTTCAAAGCCACCAGTTGCTCTGAGGGAGAAAGATGAGGCTCTCTGCTCCCGCAGAGTTGCAGTCTTGGAAACACCCGGGGTCAGCTTTACCCTGTTCTACAAAGTCACCACGAGCAGGAACCAACTCATGAGTCAGGACACTCGCTCTCACCACCACGGCAAGACCTCCTAGCTTAGGAAGTGGGAAGTGATCCGTATTTCCATCACCACCGGAACGGATACATTGTTACCGGGAGAGTAACAAAGAAGCCTCAGAAATTTGCGTTTTTCCAGCTGAAGCCTGGAGCGCACCTACCGAGGAGGAGATGGCATTTCAGGCCCTGGCTAGCCGCGAAGCCTGGCACCGGGAGCAGCCAGGGACCCTGTGGCCAGCTCCTCTCAGTCTGCCCATTTTTAACACCGAACGCCTCCCCTCCCCTAAGACCCAGCCCCCTTCATGGACGTAGGCAGACTGGTCAAAGGAAACGGCAGGTCCTTTGAAAGGACTTGGTCTTTCGCGTTTTGTGTCGGGAGTCCTTTAACTGCCTTCCTGTGTTATTGATCGTCCCCCCACCTTCTCTCCTCCAACCTATACCCCACCCCCGCCTTTTCAGGTCTCTCTGGGAACCCTGCGGATCTGGAGCATCGTAGGCAAGTGTTTGGACAGAACTTGATTCCCCCCAAAAAGGCCAAGACCTTCCTAGAATTAGTGTGGGAGGCCCTTCAGGATGTCACGCTCATCATCCTGGAGATCGCCGCCGTCATCTCCCTGGTCCTGTCCTTCTACCGGCCCCCCGGCGGAGACAACGAAAGTGAGTGTGGGCCCGCTCCGCTCTGAGTACTTAGCCTGGGCGGTCTGCGAGTGTTAGCTTGAAACTTTTCTCCCGTCACCCAGTTTTGCCAAAGGAAACCAACTAACTAATAACTAACTCGTAAGCATTTCTTCCAACCCACTGGTATTCCGGGGTCTTTCCCAGCTTCTCCCATCAAATCCTTATCCAGACTGGCCGGGCCAGGTGGGCCTGCCAGGTTCTCCCTTGGGGCTGGCCTTTGGTTGGCAGGGGCATATTTTGTTCTCTTTAGCCCCTGGCTTCTTGGGATGATGGCAGTATAGCTCCCAGGGCCAAGAGTCCCCAGGTGACCCTCTGCTTCTGTCCTTCCCATGGGACAGAGTGTGGCAACATAGCAGGAGCCCCGGAGGACCAAGAGGAGGGGGACACTGGCTGGATCGAGGGGGCGGCCATCCTGTTCTCGGTGGTCATCGTGGTGCTGGTGACGGCCTTCAACGACTGGAGCAAAGAGAAGCAGTTCCGTGGGCTGCAGAACCGCATCGAGCAGGAGCAGAAGTTCTCCATCATCCGCAACGCGCAGCTCATCCAGCTGCCCGTGGCTGAGATCGTGGTGGGGGACATCGCCCAAGTCAAGTATGGTGAGAGCCCTGGTGGCACGCCACTGAAGCGCTGGGCCGGGAACCGCGAGGTCGGCGAGTCCAGCCGCCGGCGACGCGGAGGGAGAGAGCAAGAACCCCCTGGGGCAGTGCTGCGCCAGCCTTGAGGGACTGGTCCCCCGGCTTAAGGGGCCTAGAAATTGCCAAGGGTCCAAAACAGATCCCCCGGTGGTGTCAGCTTCGAGGTTACTGTGAGAGGAGGCTGAGGGGAGCCGTTTCTAAGAAAGAACACCCCCCCAGAAGATGGTCAGATCTCACCCCATTTGCCTCCAGGGCTAAAATCAGTTTATAGGACTCGGGCCAGAGGGCGGTGCTGGGGAGTTCATAGTCATTTGAAGTTAGGATACCTAGAAAGGTGTTACTCCCGGGGCCATTGTGCCCCAGGTAGGGTCCCATGGAAGCTCCCCTGAGCTAGCCCCCACCCCATGCAGGCCTCACCCTCCGTCCCTGCCCCCTCCCCTCGTGCCCTAGGTGACCTGCTGCCGGCCGATGGGGTCCTGATCCAGGGCAACGACCTGAAGATTGATGAGAGCTCTCTGACTGGCGAGTCTGACCACGTCAAGAAGTCCTGGGACAAAGACCCCATGCTGCTCTCAGGTACAGCCTCCGGCTCCCCAGGTTCTCCGTCTACCTCCTTCCTCCCTGACAGCCAAGACACGGAGCCTTGACCAGACCCTGCCCTCTGCTCTGGCCCTGCCCTTCTCCTGCCCTGGAGTCCAGCCCCGTACAGAGGCATCTTGGTGGGGTGGATGTCAGCATCGCAGGTCTTACGGCAGGCTTTCGGTGAAGTCGTTAGACACACTTTCCTCCTTACCCTTACCCTGCTCCCCAACCCCACCCCCCGAGCCCCCTTACCTAGTCTATTTGAAATGGAGCCAGCTCTTGATCTGCGGCTCCGTTTTGTTAGTATCTGCGGAGTAATTCCGTTTGCTTTCCCACAGGGGAGGAGAGAGGAGGAACCGAGTTTTCTTTTTCTTTTTTTTCATGTTCTTCCAAGTTTGTGTTTCATAAGGTATCAAAACCCAGTGTTCCTTCTCCCTCTCTAGGCACCCATGTCATGGAAGGTTCTGGCCGGATGGTGGTGACAGCTGTTGGCATCAACTCGCAGACGGGGATCATCTTTACCCTCTTGGGGGCCAGTGAGGGGGAGGGGGAGGAGAAGGAGAAGAAGAAGAAAGGTAAGGGCCACTCCGAGCGAGTCTCTCTTCCCCTCACCCCGTGGGGCAGACAAGCAAGCAGATCTGGACGAAATGCCCGGTTGGAAGAGCCTGCTGGGACAAAGGGAGCAGATAGGCAAACGCCGCTGCCGCCACTGGGTGCTCATAAAATCCAGAGCCGGGCTCTCGGCTCCCAGACAGTGCTGCTTTGCGCGTGCCCGTCCCCGTGCCTCTTGGTGGGTAGTACGGAAATGAATTGTAAAACCTTCCCAGAACGAGTTGGCCAGGTGCTCCGGCCCCAGATGCCCTCAGTGGATGCCTCTTCTTCCTGTCACTTCCTTCCTCAAACCGGGGGGTCAGGGTGGGGGCTGGTGAAACCACAGTCAAGGCCAAGGGGAGAGTGGCCAGGAGTGAGCTGTTAAGACGGCAGCTGTCCGTGACAGAGAGACACAACGTAGGAGAATGGGGACAGAGGGGCAAAGTCTACCTGCAGGCGGACCTGTCTTGGCCACCCACTTGTTCCTGACGGAGGGAGATAGAGAGGCCAAAAAGAACACGAGACTAAAACCAGATCCTCACCTGGCCCCAAAACCATCCTCCTCCCCCAGGGGGTGAGCAGGACTTGCCCACCCCTCAGCTGGCGCATCTTCCTGGGGTGTGGCAGGGTCACAGGACACTCATGGAAGGAGGCTAGACCGTCCACCTATGATGAACACGGAGGAGCCAGCGAATGCCTGGTGCCGTCTAATCCACCCAGAGACACTCTCCAGGGCCTTTGCCATCAGGCAGAAGCAGTGGAAGCATTTCACTGCCGGCCCCTTGACCCCGACTGCCTTAAGTGATGGTTCTCAGCCGGGAGCACCAGCAGCCGGGGGACTGTGCGCCCACCCGCTCTCCAAAGCACTCCCCTGCCCTTGCGTCTGGGCCATGGATGCCCAGGGTCCTGCCGTGCCCTTAGAGTGAGTGCACTGCAGACCCCAGATGCCAGCTCCTCTTTCCTCCCCCTTCCCTGCAGCCCAGCCTTTTGCGGCAGCCCTCCTGGGCTCAGCGCAGGACCAACAAATTGGATACCTGACCTCCTGAGAGTCACCTTGGGTCGCCACCCCATGTTTTTCTTTCTTGTTCAAACAGGTAAAAAACAAGGAGCCCCTGAAAACCGCAACAAAGGTAACCTCTCCAACCCACTCCTCTGCCATTTCTACCTGCCACCTCAAACCAGATCTTCCCAGGCCATCTGCCGTCTCCTTTTTCCTCCCCATCAGTCTGTTATCTGCTGCTGTGGCCCGGCTGACTCATCTGGAGGAAGGTGCAGAGATTTTCAGGGTGGGCTCGGGGTCCTGGTTCTAATTGAAGACGGACGGGCCGACAGCACCCCTTGCTGTTGGCTCCCGGAACCTCACTTCAAGGCTTCTCTAGGCGAGCTTGTCGGATTGGTCTGCTCTTCCCAGGGTGCCGCCTTCTGGACGCCAGTGCCCTCGGCAGCCTGTGAAGGAACACCCGGGGTCCAGAACCAGAGCCCCTGGTTTCCGGCTTGGCAGCCTCTGGGTCCTTGTGGTGGAGGGGCTGGCCGGGGGTGGGCAATCCCTGCACCCTCCTCCTGCTGGCTCTTTCATGGGTGTCCTCTTCCAGTGTGGTGTCCTTCTCCGCTGGTCTTCTCGGGAGTCCTTGGAGACAGCCCTTCCTCTGCACTTCTCTCTGTTTTCTCCACAGTCCGTCCGTCTGTTCTCTTCCTCCCGACCCGCTGTGTGCTTCCTTCTTGGTTGGCTGTGTTTGCGTCCCGTCTCTGTCTTGTTTGTGAGCCTGTCGGCAGAGACAGTCTCCCAGGGAGGCCAGCCCGAGCCCAGGGGCTGAGCTCTACAAGGATAAGGTTGGAGGGGAGCCAGGGTCCCCCTCGAATGGCTCTCTGGAGACAGTTTCTGGGGTTGTTGTTTTTCCTCCCACCTTTCGGACCTGCATCGTGGTTCCACACCGAAGAACCAGGGTGAAACAGAAATAATTCTTTACTTTTTCGGTCTCTAACTCTTCTTGTAGAAACAAAATGGATTGATCTCTCTTTATCCCTGCTTTCTCTTATTCCAGGAAGGAGGGGAGTCCCACACCAGCTTCTTCCCATTCCTTCAAAACACCCAGCCCCAGGGTCCGCTGCGTACCTTCCCACCTTCCTCAGGCAGGGGAGGAAAGTGGGGGAAGGAGAGTCCTGCCCTCTGTCACCTAGTAGAAGAAGTGGCTAGAAATACCCTGTATGGGGAGGTGGGGGGACGGGGCTGTGTTTCCAGCCTGCCTCCCTCAATGGAGGAAGATGAACCTTTTAACAAAGCCGACCAGGACCCTGATGTTCTTGAAACATCTTCCAGCCTTCCCCCTCAGCCCCCTTCTGGGGTAAAGACTCACTGTTTGAACCCCCACTGGGTTCCAGGAGGGATGGTTGTTGGCAGTATCGGTGGTGGCATGACTCACCTCCTTGCTAGCATAAACTGCAGTGGGGGCTCCAAGGGGGTGCCAGGAGCTGCCATCAAGGAGGGAACCTTTGCCCCCAGAACGCCCTGTTCCCTCTCCAAAGGCCCTCGTAGCGGATCATAGGCAAGCCCCACGCCTGGCATGGGTGGGGCGGCACAGAAACCATGTCAGGGCCCAGGTGTGCTCTAGGAAGAAGACAGAAGGGCCTTTTGGTTTCCACCTGCCTGGTGCTCAGGACCACCACCCTGCCCACTCACCAGTTCTGTCTGTATGTATACCCCAGCAAAGACCCAGGATGGAGTGGCCCTGGAGATCCAACCGCTCAACAGCCAGGAAGGGCAGGACCATGAGGAAAAGGAGAAAAAGGTGACCAAGGTGCCCAAAAAGGAGAAGTCGGTGCTGCAGGGCAAACTGACGCGCCTGGCCGTCCAGATCGGGAAAGCTGGTGAGTGGGGCGGGCCTCCGCTGTCCTCTGCACGGTGGTGGCGGCTGAAGAGGCCACCCTTCTTTTCACACCAACCTTAACTCCCAGGTTTCCTGGTAACATCGTGGTTATTCACTGCGATCCCCAAGGTCAGCAGTTCAAAACCACCAGCGGCTCCTCAGGAGAAATTGGGGCTTTCTCTGCCCGTGAACAGTGGCCATCTCGGAAGTTCACAGGGGCGGTCCTACCCTGCCGTCCAGGGCGGCTACAAGTGAGTCGACAGCGACTCGATGGCAGTGGGTAAGCTCCGCTGCCGCGCCAAAAAGCAGAAATGTCCAAGTGGAGTCTGAGCTCTAGGTGGCTGCTCCCTCTCTGAGCCCCGCTCGGTTCCCCTCTGAGCTGGCAGGCCTGGCCAAAGAGAAACGCGTTCTAAACGGTGCTGGAAGATGGGCCGGGTCTGACGGGGCTCTCAGTCCTGCCGTTGCACGTTCTCTTTCCAACACAAGAGATCACAAAGATTAAATAGCAGCCCTGATGGCACAGTGTAGGTAACACATTGGGCTGCCAACTACAAGGTCCACAGTTCAAACTCACCAGCGGCTCCTTCAAAGAAAGATGAGGCTTTCTACTCCCACACACAGCTCTGGTCTCGGAAACCCACAGGGGCAGTTCCGCTCTGTCCTACCCTGGGTCACGAAGAGCTAGCGTGGACTTGATAGCAGTGGGCCTGGGTTTGACTGTGCACCGCAACAAGAGGACGTTTGGAAAGGACCGTTCTCACATTAGTCACCTAGGTGGTGAGCTAACAGCATTGGGGCATCCGTGCAGACAAGTGACAACACAGTTGGTGCAGATATGAATTGTGGAAAGAAGGTGGGCTTATGTGGGTCAGAATCCTAGAATGCTGTGTCCAGACCGAAATCCAAAGCCCTAGTTACAAATGAGGAGCCTAGCGTAGGAAGTAAGCTCAAAGGAGCTAGATTAGTCTAGAACCAAGACTCCAGGTAGGGCCGCGCTAAGACTGGAACTTGTGTCTCTGTGATGAGGAGCCAGTGTCTTTTCCACTGCATGGAAAGGAAATCTTGGTGGCGCTGTGGTTTAGTACTGAGGTACCACCAAGGTGTTGGCAGTCCGAACACCACCCCACCCGTCGCTCCACGGGAGAAAGGTGCAGCTCTCTGTCCCTTTAAAGATGGCAGCCTCAGAGACCCCAGGGGGCCATTCTCCTGTCTGGTAGGGCTGTTCTAAATCAGAACAGACTCGCTGGCAACAGGTTTGGTTTTTCAGTGTGGTGTGCAAGCAAGAGGAGAGATTAGGTGGATTTTGGTAGGACTTGCCAGAGATGGAAGTTTCAAAATTGAGGCGCAAGGGAGAGATGAAAACACAATACTTAGGGGGACACTGAACGGCTGTTAAGAGTAATAGGGAAATCCCGGAATGGTTAATAGTGATGGTTGTCTGCATGATGGGCATATACAATGTCGCAATGAAAGATTGTTGATGTGGCGTGTGATATCTTAGATATCTATAATAAATTATAGATATCTATGAAACCAAACGCACTGCCATGGAGTCAGTGCTGACTCGTGGTGACCCCCTGTGGGTTTCTGAAACTGTCACCATTTACAGGAGCAGAAAGCCCAGTCTTTCTCCCTCAGAGCGACTGGTGGTTTCGAGCCGCCTACCATGTGGATCACAGCCCAATGCATAACCACTATACCACCATGGCTCTGTGTGTGTGTGTGTGTGTGTGTGTGTGTGTGTGTGTGAGAGAGAGAGAGAGAGAGAAGAAAAAATAGTTGTTAGCAAAAGCTGTAACTTCTGCTGCCCCACCTCGTCCAGGCCCTGGTGGCCCAAAGACCTTGGCCTGCCTTCCAGCCTGGGCTCTGGCCCCTTGTCTCCCTGGACAGGTCTGATCATGTCGACGATCACCGTTTTCATCCTGATCCTCTACTTTGTGGTTGACAACTTTGTGATCCAGCAGAGACCGTGGGTCGCCGAGTGCACCCCCATCTACATCCAGTACTTCGTCAAGTTCTTCATCATCGGCGTCACCGTGCTGGTGGTGGCTGTGCCAGAGGGCCTGCCCTTGGCCGTCACCATCTCACTGGCCTACTCTGTGAAGGTGAGACCCGGGCGCCACTGGCTCTTGCCCTTGGACCGAGATGGGAGGAGACGGCACCACGAAGCCTTCCTCATGGGGCGTGACAAACAGGCCATTTCTTTCTCTCTGGTCAGCTTTGGGTGGTGGGTCACAAGCGTGTTGTCCCCAGCCCCGCCCAGGGGCCGTCTCCACCACGGTGCCCCGGTTTGGTTCCAGAAGACTCCGGAGATGATTCCCCAGACTCACATGCCACATTTTGGGGCACAGAGACATTAGCTGGGAGCTGGCTGTGGCCTCTGTGTGGGGAAGGCCCGCCGGGCCCCGCGTGAGTCTTCTCCCTCGTCCTGTGTAGAAAATGATGAAAGACAACAACCTGGTGCGGCACTTGGATGCTTGTGAGACCATGGGCAATGCCACGGCCATCTGCTCCGACAAGACCGGCACCCTGACCATGAACCGCATGACCGTGGTCCAGGCCTATATCGGGGGCACCCACTACCGTAAGATCCCGAAGCCCGATGTCATCCAGCCCAAGGTCCTGGACCTCATTATCAATGGCATTTCCATCAACAGTGCCTATACCTCCAAGATTATGGTATGCTCCCTTCTCCCCTGACGCTTAGAAAGGGGGGCGGGGCGGGGCGTGGTAACTCTCCCGCCTGATTTGCATCCCACGTTTAGGGTAAGACTGGGACATGGTCCGTGAGGGCGGAAGGAGGAGGTAGGGGGATAGGACTCTGTGACCATGAAATGACCTCCAGTGACACAGTCAAGGCATCTCTGGGGTGGGACTGACTGTGTGCCGCGAGCAGAATGGGACTTAACCAGACAGCAAAGATTCGCTTTCCGGAGGCTCAGAGAAGGTGTCGGAATAGGACCCCTCCACACAAGGCGAGACGCCCCTCGGGCAAAAGATGGCTCAAGGGGCCAAGGTCACCACTGACCGACACCCCCCCCCTCTGTTTCCTCCCGGGGCTCTGTGCCCATCCTGTCTGTGGCCCGAGGTATCGTCCTCACCAGCCCCGCCTGTGCTTCTCTCTCAGCCTCCAGAGAAGGAGGGGGGCCTGCCTCGGCAAGTGGGGAACAAGACCGAGTGTGCCCTGCTGGGTTTCGTCACGGACCTGAAGCACGACTACCAGGCCATCCGCAACGAGATGCCCGAGGAGAGGCTCCACAAGGTGTACACCTTCAACTCCGTGCGCAAGTCCATGAGCACCGTCATCAGGAAGCCCAGCGGGGGCTTCCGCATGTTCAGCAAGGGCGCCTCCGAGATCCTCCTGCGCAAGTGAGCGGCCGCTCCTCCTCCCCTCCCCTGCCGCCCAGGGCCAGGGCCATGCGCCCCCCACCCCCACTTGCTCTCATGGGGGCAGGTCCGGGGGCCTGTGGCCCATGCTGAGCCCATGAGAGTGAGTGACCAGCACTCTCTCACGGCTAGTTTCCTTGTTGAGTCCTGACCGCTAGCATGGTCCCTATTTTAGAGATGAGAAACCCGAGGGTCAGGGAAGTTGAGAAAAGTGCTCAAGACCGGAGTGCCGATCACGGCACAGCCCGAATACAGACCTAGGCATGCCAAGCCTCCCTGCTCCCTTCCTCATCTGGAAACAGCTGGTAGTAGCTACCTTCCTCGCAGGGAGGACGCCCTGGTGGTGTCGTGGGGCACACCTTGGGCTGCTAGCCGTCAGATCAGCAGTTCGAAACCACTAGCCACTCCCTGGGAGAAAGACAAGACTTTCTACTCCCGTCAAGAGTTACCGGTCTCAGAAAGCCACAGGGACAGTTTGGCTCTGTCCCATAGGGTCACTGTGGGCTGGAGGGGATGGGATGGCAGAGACCTCACAGGGGTCCCGTGGTCATGAAATGACCCCATGGAGGGACAGTGTCACTATACCTCTGATGATAAGGACCTTGCCCAAACTCTTGGAGGCTCATTCAAAGCTGAGCCTGCCTTCCTCTATGGCCCATCAAACTAAAATGCCTTCGGCTTCACCTGGGCTCTCGCCACGGTCTTACATCCACACACCTGGGCATTTGCTGTGACCAGAGAGCTTTTCCAGACTCCGGAGGCTGGTAAGGCTCTCCCTCCCTCCAGGAAGTTCAGAACAGCAAGTGTCCTACCCATGCATCCGCGTGTGAGGGCAGAGAGCCGCACCCTGCCCCGTCCACAGGCCGCCCCTCCCAGGACAGAGGGACAGGCCAGGCAGTGGGTAGAGGAGCTGCTTGCCCTTGAGCCAAGGCCCGTCAGTGTGTAGGAGGGCTTCCTGTAGGCGGTCCTGGGAGCATGCTGAGGGGTGGGGGGGGCTACCCCTTTCTGACTGCCTGGCTCCCCAGATGTAATCAAATCCTGAACAAAGATGGGGAAGCAGTGCCTTTCAAGAACAAGGACCGAGATCAGATGGTGCGCACCGTCATCGAGCCCATGGCCTCTGAGGGGCTCCGGACCATCTGCATCGCCTACCGGGATTTCGACGATGCCGAGCCCTCCTGGGAAAATGAGGGCGAGATCGTCATGGAGCTCACTTGCATCATGGTGGTGGGCATTGAGGACCCAGTGCGCCCCGAGGTGAGGCTTTGGCTCGGAGAAAGGAGAAGAAACCTGAATGGTGCATGTGCTGTATGGCCCAGTGTGACCTCGTGCAAAGCCCCCGGGCGTCACAGGGGTGCTACTGCTGCCCCGGTTATGCCCGTCGGCCAGTTACCTGGCTGCCGCCTACCTGCAGAGGCAGATGTCTCCGTGCTCTGCACTGCTCAGAGCTGCCGTGAGTGCTGAAGGGGGCCGGAGGTGGTCTTCCTGCGGTTAATGTTGTCTGAGCGCAGAGAATCAGGGCTTTCACCGGGCGGATGATTTGGTGGCTGGACATAGCCAGTTGGCCTTCGTTAACCAGAGGCCCAACTTTGTCTTCCACCACCATGCTCACAGACGCCATTCTAGACTCTGGGGATTGGAAACACCCGCTCTCCCTCTAAGAAGCTAAGACAGATGGGCCATCAAGTGTCAAGGCCCAGCGGCATAAGGGGAATGACACGGTCAGTTGGTGTGGTTGGACGCAGGTTCAGTGACTGTGGAATGCTGGAAGGGCAGGCAGTGGCCACAGCCCAACACACATGCCCCCTGAGGGCTCCACATTGTAATTGGGAACATAGGTTTCTGCACCTGGACTCCAGGACAAGGTTTCCCATAAGGCCAGTTCAAATGTGCACCCTGGGGGATGGGCAGAAGGACGGTGGCACCAAGCAGTATGAAAGTGACCAGACCTACGCCAAGTGCCATGGCGCTGCTCCTGGGGTGCCTTGCCCTGGTCCGTAATGAAAGGCCCGCTGAATAAGGGCAGCTTCCCAGGCACCGTCACCCCATCCCCTCTTCCCCTTTCGTCACTGTCCACAGGTGCCTGAAGCTATTGCCAAATGCAAGCGAGCTGGCATCACTGTCCGAATGGTGACAGGGGACAACATCAACACAGCCCGGGCCATCGCCACCAAATGTGGCATCCTGGTACCTGGGGAAGACTTCCTGTGCTTGGAAGGCAAAGAATTCAACCGGCTCATCCGTAACGAGAAGGGCGAGGTGGGCCCTGGGGTGGGGGCCAGGGCCTCTGCTGATGAGAGCAGGGCCAGTTCTGCTGGAAGGCACCGGCGTCTGAGGGAGAGAGTGGGTGGTTTTTAAACTCCAGTCTATTCGTAGTGAAGCTTCCCCTGCTGCCAAAGCCTCCCAGATGATCAAACTGGGAGCTTCCTCCTCCTCTTCATTCACACGCTAGCCTTTGAGTGACTGTCACACCTTCTCCCGTCTCCACGTTTCCTGTCACGGGACAACTTTGTCCCAGCTTTGGGGTCCCTGCCCTCTCGACGGATGGTGGCCCAGGTTTGGAAGGGGACATGGCTTGGGGGTAGAACAGAGCTTCCTGGTTCCCTAGCTATCAAACGAAGACCCCAGAAGCCCCACTTGAGCCATCTCAGGCCAATAGCAAACTTTGGCTGTTGCCGACCAGGAGGGATTCCCAGGAGTTGGAAAGGAAGGCGCATGGGGGTCTCAGTGGTCACCATCCACAGATCCACCTGTGGAGACTGAGCTTGGCCCCTCAGAGCAAGCAGTTGGTCCTCCAGCAGGCCCTCCAGAGGGTGAGGGCGGAGAAGTCCGAGCTGCCTGGGTGGCTGTGCTGAGCTTAAGTGACCCAGGTGTGCTCTGCTGTTGACAGGTGGAGCAAGAAAAGCTCGACCAGGTCTGGCCGAAGCTCCGAGTCCTGGCACGCTCCTCCCCGACCGACAAGCACACGCTGGTGAAAGGTGAGCTCAGTGCCGGGGGTAGGGAAGGCAGACTGGGGCGAGGGCAGAGGAGACCCTTCAGCAGGGGCGGCTAGGAGAGCTCTCAAGCTTACAGGGAGAACGGACGGTGTCGAACACATGGAGCTTGGTAAAGTCGTCCTTTTTTTGTCAAGCTCTGGCAGGTGTTCGGTGCCGGTAACACTGTGGGCTCGGCAGGGCTAGGAAAACGATCCCCGTTTTATAAATAAGGAAGTTTGAGGCGGAGAGGGCAAGCAATTGGCCCAATTGCCCAGCTGATCAGTAGCACTGGTTGTCAGAATCCCGGATCTCCCCTTACAAATCCTCCTGGTGCTTTTTGCCCACGTCACAGGCAGGGTAGCTAAATGCGGCCCATGAAACAATGTATCTGCTACGGGAGCTCTGAAGGAAGAAGAAAGTAGCAGGGAAATGTGGGGCTTGTGGCCGGGACCAGGGATGGGACTCGGGGGACAGAGTGCTTGCCAAATGGCCTCAGACAGTACATGTAGGCTCACTGTGAGGGGGATGCACGCTTCCCAGACAGTACCTGTGGGCTCACTGTGGGCCGTGTGTGTGTTTTCCAGGCATCATTGACAGCACTGTGGGGGAGCAGCGGCAGGTGGTGGCTGTCACTGGGGATGGCACCAATGATGGGCCCGCTCTGAAGAAAGCAGACGTCGGTTTTGCCATGGTAAGCAGCTCAGCGCAGTGCCCGTCTCCCTCATGCAAGCCGCCTTCGCCCCTGGGAAACCAGGGCAGGCCTCTGGCTCTGTGCTCCTTCTTGAACCTTCACATCCCACCTTGAGCTCTTCTCTCCGTCTCCACCACATCCCTGTGTCGCGGGGGCCCATCATACGTGAAGAAAGACCGACCCTGGCGTGCCCTGCATGACCCAGGAAAGCTAGACCAGTTTAAGGCTGCCCCAGGGCATGGTGAGACTGCCTGCTAGGCTAACGCTAGGCACGTGTTTGTTCCGTTGGGATCGTGCACTGTCTGGCCAGCTCCATCCAGCGCTCGGCTACTCCCTCTGAGGCTCGGAACCTCGGAATCACCTGAGGAGCCCGTGGGAATCTCCTGGTGCAGCCAGGTGTGAGGTGGAGCCCCTGGCCGTTTTTAAGAGCAGGCATACCAGCCGACTCAGATGTTCCAAGATCCAGAAGCCTCCAGATTGCAAAGCACACCCACACCCTCACGTAGCTTCTAACTGCCAGGCTCACGTATATATTGGATTGCTGGCGGGTCTTAAGCAACGGGAGGAGATTTAAGCAGCTCTGTAAAAGAAAGGGAAAAGAAGTTTTTACTTAGAGGAAACTTGGAGAATACACAGAAGGAAGGAGAGCAGAGAGGTGTGATGGAGCCGCCCCCCACCATCATAAGAGAAAAGACACGGCAGACCCCAGAGGAGCTGGGAGGTGGGGGCTCATGCCCTCTCCCTCCCATGAGGGGCCCCCACATGTGAGCATCCCCCTTGCAGCCGTGGAGGTGATGTTTCTGCCTAGGGGAGCCTGTTAGCACCTCAGATCCCAAGGTTTTTGGGGGTGTAGGTCACAGCCTAACACCTTCTAAAATTCCAGACTTCCCGAAACAAAGCAGGTAAGCCATATTGTTTGGGTAAACTGAGGGCACCGTGAGTCACTCTTATCAGCTCACTGCTGACTGCACTGTCCCGTTCCATTCCATCCAAGAGCCAAATCCCATATACCAGGCTAGGGCCCGCCTTGCCGGCAGGCTTCCCCAAGACACACCAACTGCAGCCTGCTGTGGCAACTCTAACCACAGTTCACCCCCTTGGCCTTGGGCATTAACAGTGGGACCCTGGGAGGCTGCGTCAGACCCCACAGCGGCATTGACCTCAGTCTTGTCCTTCGAGGTCTTGGAGTCGGGCAGTTAAAACAAACCCCTTAGGAAAGCCTGTCTTAGAAAGCCCGGTGGCTTCCTCCGGAAGTGTTTATTCTGGTTTTCTCAATCTAGAAGCATGAATGTTGAATGTCTCCTTTACATTGGCCTATCGGTCACAAATCCTATAACTCAGTGGTTCAGTCTTACGAAGAAGAGTTGTACAATCCTCCCCGCCATCAATTTCCGAACGGTGTCTTCTCTCTGGTCCTCATTGCTATTAGCTCCACGTATCCCCCCAGCCTCCTCTGCCATATTCCCAAGAAATCATCAACCCAGTGACTGTCTCCATTGATTTTACGTATCCTGGACTTTGTATACTGAAAACATGCAAAAGCAGAAGGGTGGGGTTTCGTGGGTTCTGTTTTTGTTTTGTTTTTTTATAGCGGCTAGTTTATCCCCAGCCCAGTCCATTTCAGAGCATTGCCATCCCCACAGAGAGGGACTCACACACACACCTCCACCCCCCTGCCAGTCTCTCCTCCTCCTCCTCAGATTGTTGTGTGACCTGGTTTTAGCCTGTCCAGAAGCATCCATCGAGGCACAGCGCTGCTCTGACCAGTGCACTGAAGCTGGCCTGAAGGCCCTGTCACAGCCAGGTGACATGTGTGGTCCCCTCCCCCAGCTTTACACACACAGCGTCTGCGTTCTGGGGAAGCGGGCCGAGCAAGACGTGCATTGGTCAGGCTGTGCTAGCTAACCACGGAGCTCTGGCATTCTGCTGCCAGAAGGGGGACAGCCTAGAATGGCGCATGGGACTCTGCTCTTCTGTCAGGGCCTCCATGAGTCCGAATCGACTTGACGGAATTGAGGGTGGAGCCAGAAGGCTCCGGAAGGAGCCCTGGTGTTTCAGTAGCAGAAGCCCTCTCCTGCGAGCCAAACGGTGGTGGTTCCAGCACAGCAGCCGCTCTGTGGGGAGAACGCTGTGTCCCTCTGCAGCCTTGCCGTTCTGCTGTGCCACATGGGGCTGCCATGAGTGGAAGGTCACCCCACAGCAGCACTGGTTCGCAGAGCCCTTCTGCAGGGGCACCTCCGGCCCTAGCCACCTCAGTTCCACCCACGTCTTTTCCCTTCCATCCCTGGTTTACAGGGGATCTCTCAAGGTACTGCCAAGCAGTCTTTCCCCCTCCCCACCTCCGAGGTGTTCTCCTGCCGTCCCTGCGTCAAGTGCAGGGTGCTGGCCTGCCGTCAGGCCGGAGTCACGCTCTCGCCACGGCCCGAGCCGACTGTTCTGGGACAGCGGCTCTAAAACCCACGGATACATCAGTGGCTGTCCCCTCCCTTGGCCCCCAGACCCTGGGCTTTGCTTTCCGCCCGTGGCGACACAGCCATGCGCCTCGCGCCCACGTTCAGCGCTCACTCAGACCCTTCATCCAGAAAGGCTGGTGCAGGCACGTGCACTGGGGGGAATCTTCCCGTTCAGCCCCCTTCAGAGCAGCCTTTGTGGAGACCGCTCCCGCTGCCCGCAGTGCTCAGACTGCCTCGCTCCAGTGTGCGGATCCGGAGGAAGGGGACACTAAGCCGGGAGGTCAGTGACTGGTCCCAAAGGGCACCTCCTTTGTAAGCCGAGTGGCACCATGGGCGGCAGTAGTGAGACAAGCCCCCAAAGGGTGGAGTCTGATCCGTCGGGTGTGGGCAGAGGGGTGGCGCTTGCTGTGCCCGCCCCAGTGTGCAGTCGGCAAAGGTCTCCAGTTAAGTGTGTCGAAAGCGCAGAGGTGAGCCGAGCCGTAGTCAGTTCCATTATTAGAGGAGAAGCCATCTCCTGCAGTCCTTCGTGCGTGATGCAGACTGCCCGGCCAGCAGCCAGTGTCCGCAAAAGGCCAGGGCCTCTCGGAGAGACGTCTTCACCCTCTCTCCCAGTCCGGTTGTCTGCGTTCTGTCCGACAAGCCTGTGTCCACTCTCCGGTCAGCGCAGCAGCCGGCGTGGAGCCCGCTCGGACTCCTTTGTGACTCCAGAAATAGATCTCCGGCCTCTCTTTGGGAGGTCCCTCTGGGTAGACACGAGCCCCACCTTGTGATTCGAAGCGGAGCCTATCAACCATGGCACCCCGACCCAGGACTCCCTTAATTACTCCAGGTAATTCAGATCCGTGAATTCAGAATCCTAAAGGCCCTGTAGCTTGCCCCGGCTGCGGCAGTACCGCCAGGCCCTCCCAGCCCACAAAGGTGAGAAGCCTTTCATAGTGTGCACCCTGAGGTGCACAGGGAAGCACCCTGCAGTGCAGTCCTCTAGATACTCATCTGCCAACCCCGAGGTCACAGGTTCGAACCTGGGAGAAAGAGGTGCCAGTCTGCGGCTGTTAAGATCTCATGGGAAAGCCCCCCTGCCCTGTGGCTGGCGACCAGTCAGAGGGGTCAGGCACAGTGAGGCCAAGGGTCCACGTGGACCTCCTCAGAAATATGCCTCAGACATTACAGCTTCTGAGGGTCAGGCGTTTGGGTTTACAAGAGGTCACTGGCAAACAAAACTGCTCTGTGAAACTCCCAAAATGTGTCTTTTCCTAGTATCCATCCCCCCTCCTCCTCCCGCCCCCAGAGGCAAACATCATAGTCACTGACTTTTGACTCCAGTATTCAAAGAACTTCCATTCCAACCTTCCCACTGCAGAAAAAAAGACTCGTGTCCCATGACTGCTTTTCTTTGCTGCTTCCTCGATTGTGATGGTCCCTGTAACACATAGGAAAGACCAGGTTCTGTCAGCCTTTAACATAGGCCTCACGGCAATAGCAAAGCTAGTCTTAAACATCATCATTATTGCTATTTCCGCTTTTCTTGTTGCAAGTTGATTCAAACCTCTTGCTGTAAATTCCGCGTTGAAGGGGTCGGGGTGGGGATGAGGGGCAGGTAGGCGGGAGGGCTGCTGCTGCAGTAGCTGTACAAGCAGCATCGGTGCCGGACAAAGGTTTAGCACGGTGTCCCCGGCTTCCCACCCACACCCAGGTTTGACTGGAGCGTGGCCCCAGCCCTGGGGAATGATTGAAAGCTCACCTGTGGTCCTTCCTTTCCCACCGAGACTAGAGACCAAAATCCAAAAGGATTCCTGGAATTGAGCTTTTTTCTCACTTTAACCCCCAAACCACTCGCTGCCACCCAGTTGATTTCAACACCTCGCGACCCGACCCTCTAGGACAGGGTAGAACTGCCCTCTGCGTTCCCAAGGCCGTACATCTTTACAGGAATAGAAGCCTCATCACCTTTTCCCCCACGGAGTGGCTGGTGTTTTCGAACTGCTGACCTTGCAGTTAGTTGTTCGCATGGCAAACAGCCACAGATCTCTTGTGAGGCTGGCCCTGTCACTTTCAAATCCCGTAGGTAACAACTTTGCCTCTCAGATGGCAGCGGCTCAGCGACTCGTTCACAGCCCAGTAAAGCCATCGCCTCCAGGTTCCAGGCTACCTCAGGCCCATCCATCTCTCACTTGTCCCCCCTCAATGCTGGGGTCGTATTTCAGTGAGTTGAGCTCCCGCTAGCAAAGCACACCGCTGGCACCACTGATGGGTCCCCAAGCCCACCTCTGCCAGCACGGATTCGCTAGGAGCCATGGGACTCAGCAGATAATGCTATCATGCATTACCGGTTTTGTATCATGCATTACCGGTTTTATAATTTGCTATCATGCATTACAGTGACAGTCAGGCTCGATGGCCAGACCAGAGGAGCAAAGGATGTAGCGGAATCTACAAGAACCATGTGCAGGCTTCCTACGGGGTCTCCTTCCTGGGTGGGGACACACAGTCGTTTCCCTGCAAAAAAATAAAATAAAATGCAGCAACCTCTGTGCCATGTGTCTGTAC